TAACAAGACATTGTTCCTTCCAGCTGGTCACAGCAGGACATGAACTTTGACCCTTATAAATAACATAATTAATGTTTATGCTGAGACAAAATAGTCTGAGATCGTGTAACAGCTTTCACGTTAGATTCATGCGACATCAGGGCATTTATTGTTAACTTCACTCCTTTACTCACCAAGAGCGTTTTGAAAGCTCATGTGAAAATCCTTCTGCTATGATCATTATTCTGTCGTTTAACATGGTTTTCACACATAAAAAGTGAAAAAAGAGGAAGGAAACATCAGAGAGACTCAACCACAGTTTTGGCCCCAGAACCAGACCCAGACCTCAGATGAGGATCTGTCTTGTCTGTTTGAGACAAGAATCAGAGACTAGCAGACGTATCGGAACGGTTAGCGTAGTTAGCATCTTTTATTTGTTTATGTTGTTTGTTAGCTTTGTAAACTGTGTCAGTGGCTGAAACACTTAGTCATGTGTTGACAGATTATTTCACTTATCATTTCTCGTATTATAGAAAAACATATTTGGATGTTAACAAGGGTGAAAAACTTGATTTTCATTGGAGGGGTCTTGCTTAACGTTGCCTCATGACTTTGACTTTTACACTTGAAAAATGAGTAGTTTTGTGAGTGGTCAGACCGGTGCAAAGGACATTGGATTGAAGTTAACTTCCACGGACAGCAGGCCCGTCGCCAGGAGGGGGGGGCAGGGGGGCAAAGGGTACAGATGGCCCTGCTCAAGCCCAGGGGGGGGGGCATGCAAAATCATGAAAAGTCGTATTGGTTGTATAAAAATGTTATTGTAAGAATATGGTGAGATCGAAACACTTGGTCAGTCAGATCTCTCTCTCTCTCTCTCTCTCTCTCTCTCCAATGTAAAGTTACTTCTTTAGCTCTGACAGTGAATGTTTGCTCCCTAAATCCAGACAAACTGAAAAATTTTTTTCAAAGACTGGTCCTGAGGAGGCACAAAGACAGTCTGGACCGGAGCTATTAGCAGAACAGTACTTAGAAACTTAAGAAGACACACGTGGGGAAGCTGTACAGTGCAACCATTGTGATTAGCTGTCCAATTCATTTGTTTTGAATATTTCTAGGTTTCAACCAGCTGAAGCAGCAAGAGAGGGTCAGGGAGGGATAGAAGCTAATGAAGAGGGGGATGTAGGAGAGGAGGAGGAGGATGGCAGAGAGACAGCTAGAGGAGGAGCAACAGGTACTGAGCGAAAAGATGACTCTCAGTCTCAAGACAGGAGAGGAATTTTCCAATGTAACAATAATCCCAAACAGTGTAAAAAAAATCACAAAAGAGTTTTTGAAGAAGAAAAAATGGTAAACTGTGACCTGGCCAAGTACACATGACTGGAATCCAATAGAAAACCTTTGGAGTATTTTATAAGAGGTAGAACAAAAAAAACTCAGCAGAGAACAGCCGAAAAGATTCCCCTGTGAAGAATCTTTCCACAGATCGGTGCAAGACTGGTGTCATTCACGGAGACTGCCCTCATGTAAAAAAGGAGCCCATCAGGTCGTCAGTGCAAACACCTTATTACGTAGTACTTATAACGGGAGCAAAGGAGGAAGTGAGAGCAACAAACACCTGAACCAGAAACACCGATTATGGTTAGAGAAACCAAGTGGTTTTGGTTAATTGTAAATAAACACGTTGCATCTGGAGTCATGAATCTTTTCTATATAAAACAAGACCACAGTCTTTTAAACTGAATGCTGTGAGTGCCTAAATATAGGTAGCACGCCCACAGGGAAACAATAGGGAACAGATGAACTCACAAAGAACGAAGGAAGACAACCACTATACAAAGTTCAAATTTTTGTTGAAGCTATTTTTTGGCCATATATTATGATAGGTACAGTGGGAGAGAGACAGGAAAGTCAGGGAAGACAGAGAGGGGTTGTCATGCAGCAAAGGCATCACCCAGCATCACCCAGCATCACCCAGCATCACCCAGCATCATGCAGCATCTCCCAACATCACGCAGCATCACCCAGCATCCCGCAGCATCACCCAGCATCAAGCAGCATCATGCAGCATCACCCAGCATCTCCCAACATCACCCAGCATCACCGAGCATCACCCAGCATCATGCAGCATCTCCCAACATCACGCAGCATCACCCAGCATCACGCAGCATCACCCAACATCACGCAGCATCACCCAGCATCAAGCAGCATCACCCAGCATCACGCAACATCACGCAGCATCACCCAGCATCAAGCAGCATCATGCAGCATCACCCAGCATCACGCAACATCACCCAGCATCACCCAGCATCAAGCAGCATCACCCAGCATCACGTAACATCACGCAGCATCACGCAGCATCACCCAGCATCAAGCAGCATCACCCAGCATCACCCAGCATCACACAGCATCACGCAGCATCACGCAGCATCACCCAGCATCACGCAGCATCAAGCAGCATCACCCAGCATCACCCAGCATCATCACGCATCATGCAGCATCAAACAGCATCATCAAATGAGCAAATAGAAGAGTCAGCATTGGCGTTGCTTTCCACCTCTGGACACAGCTGTTGACGAGTAGAGGAATGAAGTTTGATGAACTCACAATATTTCTTCTAAACTGGTAAACAGCTGTGAATGCTAAGCTATGACTATGAAGCAATAGCGAAACTTACAAATAGCACTTTTAAGTAGCTGTAAACACAATGCTTTTTTATTTCTTTTACCTCCTATACCTCCTAACCGCTGCTGCAGCTATGTTTCAGATCATGTCCAGCAGCCTCCTGATGCTCCTGTAGCGTCTCCATCTTTCTGAAGTCTCACAATCTGGTTTCTTACTCCAGGCAGTTCCTCACCATGTGGAACCATATGGCATTACACACAACCAAAAACTGAAAAGCTGTGGTGCTCACAGGTTATTTAATAACCTTGTTCATACAATTAGCCTTAACTGGAAATCACAGGTTTGATTAAATTAGTTGGATCGAGTTAGTAGCTATATTTTATTGTTTGTTATCTTGAAACCAGCCCACAGGGTTAGTAAGTCAAAAGCTTGAAGATGTAAATGGGACAGTACAAGTCTCTGAAGACCAGGCCCATTTCTGGACCTGTCTTTAAATCTTTATCTCCCTGACATCAATTATGCAGCCATATTTCATTTGCAGTGACAAAGCAGTTTTATAAATAAATCTCTCGCTCACAGAGCCCCGAGCCAGTGAAAACCTGTCCATGTATTTATGGATCTATTTGCTTTCCAAGTGGTTTAATTGGGAGTATGATATAAAGATAAATATCCTTGCCAACTCTACATCTCTTTGGTGCTGCTCTGCAACTTCAACCTTCCACCTTACAGTCCCTGTGGCTTCTGGTGATTAAAATTCTGGATCAGTTACAGTAAAGTAATTTTCCACAGTGAAGACTTCTCCTCCGGTCTAGATTCAACATGGTTGTGTTTGTGCTGTCATTGTTTTGTTTAGCCTCATTAACTGGAGCAACCCTCATTACACATCACAGAACATTATTTGCCATTGTGGTTTCTCCATCAGATCGTTATTCAGATTTCCAATGATACACTGAGCTGTCAGGCCATTATGCTCCTGATGGTGCACATTTTCATATGTTGGATTTCAGTGGGTCGTGTCATCCCTTGCTGTGAAAAAGTGATTTGAAGAGTTGTCTAAACTGCTACATAT